ACTATTAAATAAATAAATAAGAAAATTAATACTCACTTAAAAATTTGAGAAGAGATATATATATATACAACGTCATTTAGAAAAACTTCAAGTAGGGGTCAATGTAATTTTTCCTAGTTAGATTAAATCTTCTTTATTTAAAAATTAAAACATTATATTTAAAATAATTACACTAAATAATTATTTTTGTTCCTAATAATTGATTGATTTAAAAAAATATCTCTCCAAGTTGTAGTAATTTCTTAAATTTTCATTTTCTTGATTTATGAATTTTATATTTAAGTAGTAAATCAGTAAAATATAGGTAACAAGTATAAATATATGAGTATTTAAATATTCCATGAATCTATATATGAAAATTAGAAATAAGTAGATTGTTAATTATAAAGGTAAGTATATAAATAAAGATTAATTAAATATATATATTATTATTGATAATATAATTAATTATCGAGCGGTGTGTAATACTTAATAAAAGTTACACCCCGGTACCAGTGTTAGTATAACCTGTTTGTCTCTATATATAGAGAGAGAGACTGAGAGACTGAGAAAATGAATGGAAGAAAAATAGTTAAATATATAGTTGTTTGATTATCTATATAGTAATAGATAAAGGGAAATATATATCAAAGTCATTTTGTAACTGATTTTTGTCTCCAAAATAATGGATAATTATACCCTCAATTCTTAAGAAATAAATAAATAATTTTTAATTATTAATTTTACTTTTTATTAAAAGATTTAAAGACACAAAGTGTATAATGGTACGTGATAACATAATTTAATATATGAACAGGGATCCTTTTACTCCAAAAGTAAGTTTACCTAGACTTACTCCATTCAATAACTCATGTTCAACATTAAATTTTAATGATCAAACTGTTCAATTTAAAATTCTTAATGCATAGATCAAATTTGCAAATTTTTAGAAAATTTGAAAATCATTTGATACTTCATTTCATTAATTCAAATTGACGGATAATCATAGAATCATTTTATACATTGATTAAAATTAATGAAACGAAGTATCAAAAGATTTTCAAATTTTCTAACAATTTACATATTTGATCTATACATTAAGAACTTTAAATTGATCGGTTAGATAATTGAAATTTGATAGAGAAAATGAGTTATTGAACGGAGTAAGTCTATGTAACTCTTAATTAGAGTAAAAAGATCCATCCTCTTTTGGAATAGGACCTTCGCTAAAAAAAATATAGGTTAAAATTCTTATTTGGTCCCTTATAATATTTTTTGTTTCAATTTAGTTCTATTTTAATTTTTTATTTTAATTTGGTCCCCAATAATTTAAATTATTGTAATTTGGGACTTCTGTTCAAATGATTTAAACGGAGTTAACTGTTGGCCATGTGGATGCCAGGTGGATGCCACATAGATGTCACGTAGATGGATGCAAAATTTCTTGAATACACTTGAAACCAGAACGACTCGTTCTGAAACCAGAACGGCTCGTTCTGGTTGCACTCTTGGTGTGTTAATTTTGTACCTAGAACGGGCCGTTCCAGATGCAAAATTAACACACCAATAGTGTAACCAAAACGGGCCGTTCTGATTCCAGAATGGTCGATGATTATGGTTCACGGTTGTGAATCGTGCATGAAAAAAGACCTAAGGTACAAAGCATTTCAAACACTAAATTTGGTAATATTGTCAATAGGGATTAATAACTTCAATTTCTAAACATTTAGGCTATACAGTGTATCATTAATGACGATGCGGTGTATCACTAAGGACAATGGTAGCAGGTTTTATTTCATTGTTAGTCAAACTGGAGTGAATCACTTACTACCAAATTAACATTATACAGTCAAGGATGAAACGAAATGGTGTTTCCCCTTGAACTCATTGACGATGTACCCCAACAATAACAACTTGTTCTTGAGGAGGTACAACCTGAATTTTTGTGATTTAGGATTCCCTTCAGCGTTACCCAAATGATTTCCTTTCTCAGTAATTTTTTTGAACTTTTTCAGTATATGTTATGTTCTGAATTTTTGTTTTCAGTTTCTGAACCATGTTTCTGTCTTTGAATTTATGATATGTTATGAATTTTTATTTTCAATGTTTGAATCACATTGCGTCATTTTGGTGCTTGAAGTTGGCGTTGTTCAGAACGGCTCGTTCTAACACCAAAATGGCCCGTTTTGGTTTCAGAATGGCCCATTCTGATGCACTCATGATGTGTTAAATTTGCATTTGGAACGGCCCGTTCCAGTTGCAAAATTAACACAACATGTGCAATCAGAATGGGTCGTTCTGGTTTTAAAACAGACCGTTCTGGTTCTAGGTGTATTCATAAAATTTGGCATCCACCCATGCATCTACGTGGCATCCACCTGGCATCTACGTGGTCAACAGTTAATTCCGTTTAAATTATTTGGACGGAAGTCTCAAATTGCAATAATTTAAATTATTGGAGACCAAATTGAAACAAAAAATTAAAGTGGGACTAAATTGAAACAAAAAAATATTATAAGGGACCAAATAAGAGTTTTAACTAAAAATATATTATATATAATGACATATAAAAAATATAATATATATAAGAATATATTTATTTGATATATAGTTATACACAGTTTTAATGTTACTTTTGAATGTGATTTATCAATATATTTTGTATGTTATTGTAGTTCATATCCACACTTTTTAATTATGTAATAACATATATTATATTTATTGTGTGGCTAAAAATAATTTTTAGTGATACAATATGTATCACTATAGAGTAGAGTGTGTGTGATTCATAAGTTTTCTTTTGAATGTTGACCCTAATATGATATTAGAAGTTAAATGTGGCCATTGTCAAAAAGTGTAAGAAAGTGGGTTGGTAAGCTTTTAATTGAGTAGCCTATTCATTTTTAAAAATCATATGCATATATATGATTCTTGCCCAGCCACTTCTATCATTTTAAGTGCGTTTCAAATTTGTCTTTTTGATTATTTTATTTTATTTGCGCTCGTGGGATCATGTAAATAATTTCGAATTATTATTGTGAGTGTAAAGTAATATATATTTTTATCCAAAACAAAGTTTTATCTATCTATATATATATATATATATATATATATATATATTAATGAAATACCAACAATAGCATTCTTATAAATATAAATGATAACATGTCATTCCAGACCGTGTGTAATTTAGAATAATACAGTTCTAACCTAAATATATAGAAATTTTTTCTTTGATATTTTTTATTTTGGATTCTCTATGATGAAAAACTTCATCATTCAAATTTCATTCTCTTATTTATTATCTGAATTTTCTCTCTCTTATTTTTAGTTTAGGATTTAAGTCTCACTAGAAATATCAAATGAAATGATCTAAACTTGTAAATACCTAGAGAGATACAAATATAAATAATAATAATTATTATTATTTTAATAATAATAATAATAATAATAATAATTAATAAGATTGATAATTAATGTAATATAAAAAAAATTAAAAATTGAAAATAAAAATAAGAGTATCAAGTACTTTCTAATAATTTCGTGTCTCCCAACGATTAGTAATATGTAAACTAAAAATAATTATACAAAAGGTTTTTAATAGAGATAACAAAATGGACCAACATGACATGAATCTGCTAAATTATGATTTAAATTGGATGCATAATTCTTTAGCCTAATTTGTCGAAGCCCATATGTAGACTAGTTTACACTACTAGAAAAGTATTATTTTTTTACAAATTTTCTTGTAAAAAAATATTCGTAGAAATTTTTTGCGAATTTTCCTGCAAAAAAATATTTGTAGAAATTTTTTGCGAATTTTCTTGCAAAAAAATATTCGCAAGAATTTTTTGAGAATTTTCTTGCAAAAAATAATTTACAGATATTTCTTACAAATTTTGCTACAATTTTAATAATCATGGAAAAAAAATTTCGTGATAAAAAATTATAGAAAATATTGTAAGAATTTTATTTTGTTTCTTACAAATTTTCTTGCAAAAATAAATTCCCAAGTAATGTTTACTAAATGGTAGAAAAATTTTGCAGGTAACTTTTCCTGCGGATTTTTCTGCAAATTTTAATTCGCAGGAAAAATAAAAAAATATATTTAAATTCATAAGTTTAATATTTGAAAAAATCTTCAAGTCCCACATCGATTGAAAATAAAACAATTAAAAAGTATATAAGTTGGAGTAACACTTACCTTACAAGTTAAATTGTATAGTTAAGTGTTAGGCTTATAATCTACATTCTTAGAATTTAAAAGATTATGTATGAGGCATGAAAATAAAAGATTATGAATTCTTAAAATATAGAATTTATAGTAATTTTTTTTATTTTTTTCATAAAAAATATTCCTGCAAAATTTCTTGCGAAAAAGTTCGCAGGAAAGTTTCTTGCGAATTTTCCTGCAAATTTTTTTTTGCAGGAAATTTTCCTGCGAATTTTTTTCGCAAGAAATTTCGCAGGAAAATTTCCTGCGAATTTTAAAATTCGCAAAAATATATTATCCATGAAGGTATTACCTGCAAATAAAATTTTGCAGAAACAACGTTTCCTGCAAATTTTTCATAAAAATTTGCAGGAAAAATCACATGTAATAAGAGAAATTCTAGTAGTATTAGGTTATAGTCTTTTCAGGTCCAGACTATATCCACTTATTTTCTTAATTTTGTTGAGAAAAAGACAAAGAAAAACCTAAAAGAGTATTAAAAAATAGTCACTAATTCATCGTCAAAACTCTTATGTGCATGTTTTCAAATTGCATTTTTTTTTCCTACATAATGAAGATACAAGGAGACATTTGAAGCTTTATTTTGTTTGCCATAGACCACTTACAAAGTTACATATTTAAAAATTTTAGCTTGTATTTTTGGAGCTACATACATTTAAAATGGTACAAGACATTTGTAATGTTTGTAATGTTTCCAAACATGTATACATAAACTTAAATATACAAATGCTCTTACTGTGTTACTTTTTAAATATGATACAACACATTACCTTATAGTGTATGTAAACGTTTTTCGTATTATAAGCAATTGCATAAACTATATCTTATCGTTAATCTCAACTCGACCGATATAAAACTTTTTGCCATAACATAACACAAAAAGTGGTTGAACATGTAAGTTTACATTTAGACAGAGTCACAGGTTGATACTAGAAAGCAATTCATGAAACACAATATACATAAGTGAACTATTTAAACAGTTGGATAAGATGAATCCAAGGCAATTCCACATAAACCATGCTTGGCAGCAATACCACGTTGCATCCTCACGTAACCTTGCTCACCCCACTGTGTGCCCCATGAATTCTTGACAAGCCAATACTCAGTTCCATTAGCTGTGCCATAACCAACTGCAGTGACACCATGGTCTAGCTGTGTTCCACATTCTCCATTGTAAATCCCACTTGAGTAAAACATGAAGCCTGCACCATCTGCATCAATAGAAACGGACACTGGTTGGTTTGCCACTGCTTTTTGGAGTGCCTTCTCGCTGTTGGGAGGAACCTTCTCATAGCCCTTAATCTGAGCCACTGGGGAGGCTGCATCTGCTTTGTTGCATGTCCCATCAACTGCCTTGTAAGGGTACTTAGCCTCACTGCTGATTCCACCATTCTTTATAATGAATTCAAACCCATCTTCCATGTAACCCCCTTCACACCCTTGGTCCACTCCTTTTGTGTCACAATCCACTAGCTCTTGCTCTGAGAGGGATACTAGTTTCCCTGTGCTTATTTGGTGGATCCCCTCAGTTGCTGCCACTGTTGAAAATGCCCAACAACTCCCTAGTTTTTCATTTCATCAAAACAATGAGACCAATAAAGGAAATTATGATGATCATGGAACATAATAAAGTACTTGTTTATCTTACCACATTGACCCTGGTTTTTGATTGGAGTAACAGCTCCTTTTTGCCTCCAATCTATAGCTGCAGGAATAGCAGTAACATTTTCATACTTAAATGATGTTGTTGTGCTAAGCTCACGGGGCCTCTTGAGTCCATTACGGGAAGCCTTGAATTCCTCAACTGTGAGGTCAGCAAGGTGATTAACGCCAAGCTTGTAAAGTTTGTTACCAACAGCATTGAATGATTCAATGAACTCCACATTGTCCTTGAATATCAGGAAACGTTTTTCCTTCTCTGCAGCATCCTTATACACTTTGCCATATTCTCCCATCCATTGCTCGTGTCTTTCTCGCATGGATGTCTCATGCAGCTTGCGGGACATCACATTGGAAATGCCAACTGCAAGGACGAGGAAAAGAGCAAACATGTACTGTTTTTGGGAAGTGGAAGCCATTTCGTATCAGCAGTATGGTTTGAGTTTTGGAAGAGAAGGCTTGGTGAGATTGTGTTATAGTGAGAAATGTAAGTTGGTATGCATTGAAGGGAATGACTCTGGTGGTTTATATAGAGAACATAGACTTTATTATGTTATGGAATTATTAATCTGAATATCTTTGCATGGTTGGTTGCTTTCTGATTGAAGATTCCTGGCCCGGCAAGTTGTATTCGATGTAGTCGTTTAGACGGGTATTTTGTGTTGTTATTAATTATTATTATTATTATTTGATGAAGTGAGTAGTTTCTGATCCACCTAAGATGCGTTGCTACATTGTCAAAATTGATGAAGCTAATGACTGTAGTTTCGTCCGCTACGTTAGAAAACAAAATAACGACCAACCAACATAATATACACATAAAGGGGCATTATTTCAAATTGCAGGAGATCCAATGATTTAGTTTTATTCGGTTTTGCATAGTGAAAATATGGGTGGCAAAAAGAATTTATTTACCCACTCCAAGTAGGTCAGTTTAGTGGTGAGAGACTTCAGACTATTAACTTGTTGATTCCCTATATATATAATAACTATTTAAAGATATTAATTAATTTATTAAAAATAATTAGTGAAACATGATATTCACTCAAAATATACCACATTTTCCCTTTGAATCCTGGAATTTTAAACATAGGTATGATTCCTGGAATTCTAAACATAAGTATGATTAGGGGTGATAAATAAATGAATTAGATAATTTTTTACACAAATCATAATAGGTCAGATAAAAATAATTTGTTAATTTATTTAGATTCATTAAAAATTTACATAAAAATTCAATTCATTTAAAACAAAAAATTCATCTCATTCATCATTTAACAACTTTTTTATTTATGGATATTTATCCATAAAAGTAATGTTTTAAAATTAAATAATTTTTATTTTTGAAATATTTTTATTTCTTTCTTTTCTTTATAAGTCAATACATTTTTATAAATAATCTTTTAAAATTTATAAGACTTATTTATGTCAAAATAATCTCTTAAAATTTTAATTCAATAAATATCTTATATTATGATTTATAAATAATGAATATAAATAACTAACTGTTCATAAAATTAAATAGATGAATTAAATATGATATATTATATATTTTTATTGTAATGAATGGATTGAATAGATTTAATTATAGATAATGAATAATTCATAAATGAATTTATTGTCACCCACACGTGTCTTTATTAACATACTCGATAATGTCTACATACCCTGAAGAGAAAAGAGAGAAATTTTTTCAGAGTAAAATATTACATTCACCACTTAAACTAAGCACTCGTTGATAAACAATACTAACTTTTATAAGTATACTAAACAGCAATGGAAGGACGTGAACAAAAAATACTAGTTATAAATTAATAATAACTTGTACCCATTTAGTAGAAATAACACGATTACATCATGTCATCATATATGATCAAACACGAGCAACTTATTGGGAACACTTCGTAGGTGGAGATACTAGCTAGTAAGAAACGAAAGCGATGGTTACATATAGATCGATAACAGTACTCAAGCAGTTGGATAAGAGGCACACATAGCAATTCCACATAAACCTTCACTAGCACGTATATCTCGTTTCATCCTCATATACCCTTTCTCACCCCATTCAGTGCCCCATGAATTCTTTACTAGCCAATACTTGGTGCCACCACGAGCTTTTCCATAACCAACTACTGTAACACAATGATCTGTTTTAATTCCACACTCTCCTTCAAATATACCACTTGAGTAAAATTGAAAATCATATCCTGTAGATTCAACATAAACTGACACTGGTTGATGCGCCACAGCTTTCAGTAGTGCCTTTTCACTATTGGAAGGAACTTTCTCATACCCTTTAATCCGAGCTACACCATGAGTTTCCTTCTCAACCTTACATGTCATGTTATTTCCTTTGTAGGGGTAATATGTTTCACTTTCCATGCCTCCTTTCTTCGCAATAAACTCAAAGGCATCTTCTATATAACCACCGTTGCATCCCTTGCTTTCACCTTTCACACAATCTACCAGTTCTTGCTCAGAGAGAGACACTAAATTTCCTGTTGTAATTTGGTGGATACCCTCGATCGCAGCCGCAGCCGAAAATGCCCAACAACTACCTGTTTTCACAAACAAAACAAAGTTGACATTACATTAACAAGGTTTTTAAGGTTGACATGAAAACAAGAATCACAAGTTATTGTTCATGCTCATAATCATAATATGAAACATTTGGTTATATTATATGTTAAATATATATACCACATTTTCCTTGGTCCTTGATTGGAGTAACAGCACCTCTTTTCCTCCAGTCCATGGTAGTAGGAATTTCAGTAACACTGTCATACCTAAAAGATGTTTCTGTTACTGTCTCCACCGCACGTGGCTTCTTCTGACCATTAGTTAGTAAAGCCTTAAATTCTTCATTATGCAGGTCCGCAAATCGGTTAATGCTAAGGTTGAAAGGTTTGTCACCAGCAGCATTGAATCACTCAATGAACTGCACGTTGTTTTTGAATATTTGGAAACTTTTTTCCTTTTCAGCAGCATCCTTGTAAACCTTCCCTTACTGTGTCATCCCCCTCTCATGTCTCTCCGATGTGCAGGCCTCAGACAACCTGCGAGACATTACGTGGCATGTGCACACAGTAAGAACGAGGAACATGACTAAAATATAGTGGATTTGGCTAAATGAAATCATCTTGTGATAAGAGCTATTGATTTTAGAGTAGCTTTGTTGAACAAAGAAAATTGTTGGTTTAGTTTTTGCAAGAAAAGCAGTGGCAACTACAACTAATTTATAATGGTGGAGGGCTCTTCAACAGTTGTTTCATTGTGCATGAAATAGTAGTTAGCACTTGTGTTTGATGAGGTTGCAATAAGATTCTCGACCGCACTGAACAACGTGTGTCATGCTAATTAATTTGTTGAGTTGCATATTCAACATATTGCTTTCGAGTTTCGACGAAATATCCTTTTCCTGTTAGAATTAGACGACCACACGTGTTAATCCCTCCAGAATGTTTTGTAATGCATTCTAACAAAAAGAAAAATAATAACATCATTCATATTCACAAATTAAAAAAAAAAAAAAAAAGGGTTTATATATATATGTGACAGTTTTTGCTTACGCCACCCTGAATGACGCCAGTTATGTGCAATTCCTTGTACAACACGCGCGTGCGCAAAAAAGATCAAAAGATAATTAAGTTATACCCACTAATGCAAATAAGATCAGCATAATGATGTCAGGTATCAAATATAATATAATAATATATCAAATAATTTTTCATCTAAAATAAATTTAATCAATCTACTATTATAAATAGATAGATATATATGGTGTACATGTATCAACATACATCGCTTTCTCTTTTTCCTCTTGTGTCATTTCTCTTCACTCTCCAAGTTAGTTGTCTTGCAATGTGGAGAGAGATACGACTGTAAAAGATAATTTGATGTTAAAGTAAGTAATTTACTCAATATATTAAATGTGAGTATATTGTGAATAGTAACTTTACCTTGATATATACTACTAAGACCCAGACTCCAATGAGCATCAACTTAAAATTACCAATTAGGTAATACGTTAATAATTTATTCTGTATAGGGCTTAAGCTGTGAGGCCCCTTTTATTTTTTTTCTCTTTCTTTTCTTTCTTCTCCTTCTCCCTGGACCCATTCTCATTTTTCTTCTTCATCACTTTGCTAGCCCTCTATTCACTCACTTCTCACTTGCTTTTCCCTGTGACCAATTTGGTGCTCCATTTCAACTTAAGGTGCTGATTGAAGGGTGGATTTTGGTCGAAATCGTGCGGAGCCTTTTTCCTCATCTCCTTTTTCAACTCTCTTCTTCTCCATTTCTTCCCGAAGCTCGATTTCCTTGAGTGAGGTAAGGGAAGTTAGTATTTTGTTCTTTTTCGCTATTTCTGGTTGTGGACGAATTCTAGGATCTCGTTAGATGCTTGTCGATGGCTGATTCGTGGCTGGATTAAGGAAACTTGTTGTTTTTGGGGTTTCGGGGATTGTTGAGAAATTTTGGGGAACAGTCTTGATTGTTGTTGCATGTTGAAAAAGGTAGTACTTTTGGACTCTTGGATGAAAATGTAGTGTTTTGAACCGATTGCATGTGAAGTTTCTGGTCTTTTCGCAGGTCTCTGATGAATTTATTCGAAAATGGTTGGCTGCTGCTGAGCTTCGCGCTGAGCGGGGTTCTTCGTGCCTGGGCGCGCGGCCATCAAGGGACCTATTTGGTCAAGCCCGCTGAGCGCCATGATGAGTGCGCTGAGCGCGCTTGAGATTGTGGGTCTCTGGCTGGCCCGCGTTGGGCGTGACTTGGCCCGCGTTGGGCGCGATACCAGTTGTGACAGGTTTTGGTTCTTCTTTTGGGCGCTGAGCGCGTCCCTTGTCGCGCTGGGCGTGAGACTCCTTGGGAGTCTCTGCCTCATGGGCGCTAGGCGCAATTCGAATTGCGCTGGGCGCGAGACCAAGGGAGGTCTCTGCCTTCCCCGCGCTGGGCGCAGGGTTGTGCACGCTGGGCGTGTGAGACTCCTTGAGTCTTTGCCTGGCCAGCGCTGGGCGCAATGGCCATTGCGTCAAGCGCGAGAGAGCCTTGGGTTCTCTGGTTGAGCCCGCCGGGCGCGGGCACACCTGCGCTGGGCGCGCGGACCCCCTCGATACTCTCTGGTTGTACTGCGCTAGGCGCAACTACTAGTGCACTGGGCGCGTGAGTGAAGTTGTATCATATGATGTGAAATTGTTGTTTATGCTGAGTTAATTTGAAATGGAGGAATCTATAGTAGATAATAGTATTGATGATGTTGAAATATATTAGTTGCATATTCTTGTAAGTTGATATGTGAGTGTATTAGTTGTGCAATGTTGTAAGTTGATATGTTAAGCTGAATAGTTGTGTGTTACTGTGTGTTGCTTCTGGATGTTGTAGGCCGAAAGGCTGAGGTGTTGTAGGAGATCTCCGAGGTGATATGCGTGACGACGCATTTTGTGTGTATTGGTAAATCTGTGTGGAAATAACTGATTGGATGTTTATTGATAAAGTGTTGATGGTCAGAAATTTTGTTATTG